ATAAAATGAAATAATTCTTTAATAAAGAAAGTACTGTTATGAATCTTTCTATGCGTGTAAATAATGCATTTCTGTAAAACATACCCAAGGGTAGATTGCTAGGTCATGGAGAATGCAGTCTTGACCTTTCATAGATAATGCAAACTTTCTTAGATAACGCAAACTTTGGTGTGTGAATATTTCCACTGTTATGCATCTTTGTCATTTTTTCCTTTTTTTTTTTTTTTTTTTAGTTTTTTGCTGTAGAGTATGTATGCATCTCCTCCAGAGAACAACGAAGAAAAGGGTGATGAGAAAGCATCCCCAGGGGAAGTGGCCATGCCATAATCCCTTTTCTTCCATTCTCCTCTCTGGATTTCGGGCATACATACAGATCAACCTGGCATGTTTTTCAAGCCGCCGGGCCCAGGACTCAAACCACACAGTTAGCCATGTGGGATCCACCTGCCCTAATCACCACACCACTGGCTGGCCCTTTAATTTTCTTAAAAAAGTTTATTCATTTTGGCCCAGCTTAGGTGGTAGTGTATTGCACTGCAATGCTGGAAGACACATGACTGACCTTGGTTCAGATCCCTGGACTGGTCTGAAACTTGCCAAAAACTGTACTGGGCACGAACATATACGCCCAGTAGCCTGATGAGCTAAAACACTGAAGAAATGGGATCATAGTGTCACCAGATCCCTTAGAGGTTGCTCCTCACTGTCTCTTTCTTTCTCTCTCTCAAATGCACACACAAGTTCCATGTGAAAAAAACTTTTTTTTTTTTTGAGAGGTTTTTGCTATAGGGCATGTGCGCTCGCCAGACAGACAGAGAGAGACAGAGAGACAGAAAGCGAGAAATCACCCCCCAGGGGGGATGACCACACCATAATCCCTTCTCCTCCATTCTCCTCTTGGGATCTTGGGCATGCACGCACACGTACCCGACATGAGTTTAAGCCACCGGGTCCAGGACTCGAACCATGGTCAACTACGTGGGAGTCCAGCGACATAGCCATTATGCTAACTGCTGGTCCCGAAAAAACTTTTAATAAAGTTTATGCATTTATTTTTTTCTATGAGAGAGAGAGACAGATGCATAGAGAATACAGAAAGGCAGGGGGCATCCCAACAGTGTCTTCATACCTCAGTCTGCCAGAGTGTCGGCTGACCCAGGCCATGGGCACGCATGTGCTCAGGGAGATCTCAGGATGTATACCCAGGACCTTCCCATATTGATCCGGTTGTGCTACCACTGCACTGCCGCTCGGCCCCCTTTGTTCCACTCCTAGTCATTCTGGTTGGTGTGTAATAATTGTTTATTGTAGGTTTAGCACTTTTTTCCTGCTAAAAACAATAAAACGTTGCTGAAAATATTGACCAAGATGGGGCCCACAGGTGACATGGTGGTTAAAGGCGCTGGACTCCGACATGGCCAACCATGGACCTGGTGGTTTCCTTTCCCACCTTCCCCCACCCCCATCTCTCTCTGATCAAAACTACAAAATAATAATAATAATAAATAGAGTTAAGTAAAATAATTCTAAAAAGAAAATATTGAGGGACCAGCAGTTAGTGTAATAGCTATGTCATTGGACTCCCATGTAGTTGACCGTGGTTCGAGTCCCAGACCCAGTGGTTTAAACTCATGCCAGGCACGCGTGCATGCGTGCTCAAGATCCCAAGAGGAGAAAGGAGGAGAAGGGGTTGCGGCGTGGCCATCCCCCCCAGGGGCTGATTTCTTGCTTTCTATTTCTCTTTCTCTGTCTTTCTGGCGAGCACACAAGCCCTATAGCAAAAACCTCTCCCCCCAAAAATAAAATATTGACTAAGGTGGAGCCTTTGGTTTTCTTTTCTTTTTTTTTTTTTTCAGAAAGAGATTTTTTTGCTATAGGGTGCGTGCACTTGCCAAAGAGACAGAAAACCAGAAGTAAACCCCACAGGGGGTGAGGGAGGTGCGGAGGTTTGGTCATGCAGCTATCCCTTCTCCTCCATTCTCCTTTAAGGATCCTGGGCATGTAGGCACATGCACCCAGCATGAGTTCCAAGCCTCTGGGCCCAGGACTCAAACTGTGGTCGACCACGTGGGAGTCCAGCCACATGACCATTATGCCATATGCTGGTGCCAACCCTTTGGTTTTCAATCTTTCATACTGTCCTTGTTTTCAGTACCATAATAAAGAATTGATGATACTTTTTGGAAAGAGTATTCTATATTTTAATTGGACACATGAAAGCAGTTAGTTTGGGATATTGCCCAAGATTCTTTCTTTATGCTTTTCATTGGCTTATTTAAAAAACAGATGTATTATTTCTCATAATTATCAAGCTGCCATTCCAGGAATCGTAACAATTACTGAAATAGATGGTATGGTCTGTGGTTTATGGAATTGGATTTAATGAGTAAATCTTTGTAGTTCCTCTGGAATTGAGTTGGTTTTCTCTTCTAGATTTTTTTCTTTTTTTTTTAATATAACCATGGTAACTGATCTGGATGACATTGAAAGCTAGTTACTGTTGACTGAGGTGAAATAGACTTTTAACAGCTCGGGGTAATGTCCGAAAGGTAAAGTGACAAAAGATAAATGTCCGTCTGTGTTCTATTCTGAAAATAGCAGGAGACATGGAACCAAGAGTTAGCTGACTTGAAAATTTAATCCTGCTTTAATAGTACTTTGGCATACTGAAAATTGGACTGTGATTTATTTTTGCACAAGTAATACTAAGAGTGGGAAACAAGATAAAACCTCGACGATTGTGCATGCTGATTAAATTCTGTCAATCTCAGTGGCCGTGTGCTCGCTTTTTAAAGGTCTTTATATACTGACAAGACAATTATGGGAACTTTTCTGGATGAATATCCAAAATATCAGTTTTGTAGCTATTTATAATCATAAAGCGATTGCTACTTTATTCTCTAGTTCGATGGGAGAAAAGCAAATTTCTAAAATATTTTTTAAATAATTTAATCTCAGATTTTGCCCCATTAATAGTTATTGAGTGAGGGGCCAGCAGGTGGCATGGTGGTTAAAGGCGCTGGACTCCCACATGACTGACCGTGGTTCAAGTCCTGGACCTGGCTGCTTGCTTTCTTGATCTCTGATCGAACTGGAAGATAATCATAATAAATAAAGTTAAATTAAAAAAAAAATAGTTATTGAGTGAGCCAGGTCCATATGGTAGTGATTAAGTACTGTGCACAGGGAGCCAGATCCTACATGGCTGACCTTGTTCGAATTCTGGCCCCAGTGGGTACGTAGGTATTGAATTTCCAGAACCTTGATGGGATAGAGAAATAGAGGGGAAAAAAGAAAAAGGATAGCGATGTGACCATTCCCCATTGAGGCATGCTTTTTTTTTTTCTCTCTGTCTGTCTCTCACAGTCATGGAATAAATAATAAAGTTTAAAAAATAGTCATCCAATAGAAGAATTTTAAGCTAAAAAATTAGTAATTAAATATTAAAAATTAAAAGGGTTGATAGACATTTCTGCTGCAAATTGTAATTTAAACTAGGAAGATAAATAGTTAAAATATAAAACTTGGTTCAACCAAAAATGAAGTAGGAAAAAAAAATGCTATGTGGGACCAGCAGGTGGCACTGGGCTCCCACTTGGCTGACCATGGTTTGAGTCCTGGACCTGGTGGCTTGCTTTCTCACTTTCCTTTTCTTTCTCTCTCAATCTGTCCCTCTCTGGTGAAAGAAAGAAAGAAAGAGAGAGAGAGAGGGAGAGAGAGAGA